TGAAAGGGAGATAGAGGAGAGAGGAGGAGAGGGAGATAGGAGAGAGGAGAGAGGAGAAAGGAGGAAAGGGAGAGAGAGAGAGAGGGAGAAGGGAGGAGAGAGAGGGTGAAAGGATAGATAGATAGAGAGAGGAGAGGGAGAGAGAGAGAGAGGAGAGGGAGATGGAGAAAGGTGAGATAGAGAGGGAGAAGGGAGATAGAGAGAGAGAAGGGAGATAGAGAGAGAGGGGAGAAAGGAGATGAGAGAGAAGGGAATAGAGAGGAGAAGGGGAGAGGGAGATAGAGAGAGAAAAAGGAGAGAACTGAAAAAAGGAGAGGAACTGTTGTTAAAAGGGTAATCCTTATATAAGAGCACATACATGTGTGCATAACTACAACTGTTTGCACATATGATTAAATAAATGTGTGTTCAATGTCAAAAGATTTATTACCATACTATTTTTTTCCTGTAGAACATAATATTTACTTAGGAAATTCTGCATGTGTATAAGCATTCCAAGCTTAATTCGGGGGTCCCCCACCCCCTTAACCTCAGGATGGCCCTCTGAAAGGCTAGGGACAAATAAGGTACCCTTGCAGGAAAATTTGAAATGTAGCCACTGCCATCATCACCTGAAGCTATTAGACAGACAAAGTAATTCTAATTAATTGCACTCCATGACAGGAGCATCCACCCCCAGGACTATGAGACTGCCGAGGTGCGGCGGAAGAGACGCAAACAGCTGGTGGCTGCAACTGAGCCGGGCCAGGAGCTGGAGACGATTGGCCAGCACATCCTGGACTGGTGGGAGCAGGCCCAGCAGATTAGTTGGGCTGGAGGATGGGCGGCCGTGCGCTCCACCCTGACGCTGAGCAACATTAGAGAGGCTGTGAGGTAAGAGGGAGGATGCAGAGGTGGAGAGTGATGTGTAGGTGATTCAGGAAAGGTTTGAATGAATTTGGTTGATGGAGTAATGTAATGATTTTTCTAATACAATTTCATGCATTAATTCCTTCTCAGCTATTATGTCAAACTGAAGGTATGGTGTTGTGTGCGTCATTTAGGGTCTTGTCTGTATTTTTTTTTTTTTTTTTTTCCCTTCAAAGGATGCCAGGTGCCATACACTATTACTAGGGATTTTTGCTATAATTGCAAAGAAAGGAAGGAAATATCAAGATATATTAAAGAATTGACATAATTTAATTGAATGTACCAGATTTTTTTTTTTTTTTTTTTTAATGTCTCTGAACCTTAACCTTGACATGAATATCATGTATATGGCTTTGCAATTTTTCAGTTGTTCACACTTTACTGTGTTTTTGTTTTTCTAATCAATTATAAATTCTAAAAACACTCAAATAAATGCCCAGAATCTTACATTTGATTTTGTGTGAAGACCCTCATAGAGTGATTTTTATTATCTTTCTTTTGTGCAGCCTTTATCAATGCTCAGACTAAGCCGCTGTCTCTCCCAACCAGGTTCACAGTGGTGCTGGTGATCACTCTAGTGGTAGGTTTGGCGGCATTCCTTAGGGAGTCGCACCATGTTATGCTCCGTTTTGTCCGAGAGGCTGGCATATTCTTCCGTAACATCACACCCTTCCTGCAGTCGATAATGGGCTTTGTGGAGAAGCTCATTGGGGGCTTCTACCTCCTAATAGCCATGGTTTACAGAGACTTCCGTCAGCCGAGTGGTCCTCCTGGTCCTCCGCCTCCCTCCTCCTCCTTCATCTCTCCACACAGGCAGCCTCCCTTAGCACTAGGTCAGGCTCCACCACCTTCCCCGTACGCCCATCCAGGACCTAGGGTCGTTAAGTATGTTGGCCCAGAACAGTGGGTGTATAAAAGCCAAAATAAGAGCTCGTCACCTTCAAGTTAAGGCATTTTTTAGCAATGTATCTTTTTATTTGGTGAATCAAATGCTACATTTTTATTTTTTAAGGACTTTTTATTTTAATTTATTGGAAATACCATAAATGCTTTTAATTACCTGTCTATGGCCAATATTTATTTTATTTAATTTTCTCGCAAGCTGTTCTTTAGTTTACTCATTTTACTGAAACATTTCAGGATCTGCTCTGCATTTACTTTTTTCAATTTATCCAACTTAAATTTGATGTTTAGTTCTCAATGGTATAGCGATTTTTACACCTCAGATTGCATTTCCCATTCCTCAACAAACAGTCCTTTCACAAGTGTGTCTTTCACTCCCTTCTTCCATTCATGAATTCACTCCATTCATAATCTTGTAAACTAGTCACTGCAAGCATTTCTCTTCAACTCTCAAGATGCAGTAGATTCCTTAAGCAGGTAATGACAACTGTTCACTTTTGTGGTCATTCAACATGAATATATATATACATATATATATTTTTAATACTCTTTGAATGTTATATCAATACTGCTAGCAGTGGTTCAGACATCACATAGTTGAGCAAAGTATGAGAATGTGCCTTTTTCTTTATGTGATGTCATATGGTGCCTAAACAGAATGGTATGTTTTGAATAAGGAACACAGGTGTTATATCTAGGAAGAGAAACATTTGTTATTATGATTAATTAGTCTTTTATTTGGAATGTTGAAACAGGTTTGCTATTTTCCTGGTCCCCCTCATTGTTTCATTACAAAATCTAGATATGGTTTGTTGTAGTGTGAGTAATTTCTTGGAAATTGTGTGTAGAGATCTTTACTGTCCAGAGCAGTTGGTTTTGCTAAAAGTTTTTTTTTCTCAAATCTAGAAAAAAATCCTTAGATTTTGCCTACACATATCCAGTCATTGTTTTTATGAAATACATTTTGTATTAATGAAAACAAAAGATTTACTACTCACAATGATGTGTTTACCATATTCAGAGTGTTTGGATTACAAGTTTCCCAGTGCTTATGACATCTTTATCTTTATGACTTCCCAGTCTTTACAGCCGTAAAAAGCAGGAATTAGAAAGTGGTGGTGTGTGTGTTGTAAGAGATTAGCCAGTCTGTAGAGTTTGATCCTAAGTGGTACAAATATATGGGTGTTAACTAGTGTAGAGGAGATAGAACCAGTGTATAGAAATTAATGAGAAATACTAATAGTTTTGTTTATTTATACCAAAGACTTTTAATGAATCTCAAGTGTAAAGCATCTTAGTGTATTTTTATTGGTGCAGAGAAGGAAAGCATTTGCAAACAAAATTAAGCAGTAGACCATCTGCTTAGATCATTTCTTTCTGTTGAGGAACTAATGTAAATGTACTCAAGATCATCTTCGTATGGAAATTAGAATAGAATTACAAATGGTAATTGGAATAGAGAGGAGTCAGTGCATTAACAGCTGGTCACAGTTATAATGATTGTCTAGTGATGCTTAGTTTATTACAAGGCTCCATTTAGAATACAAAGTCACTTCACTTCAGGAATTGCATTTAGAAATAAAGAGTCACTTATGGAAAAGCAATATCTCTTTGTCATCTTTTGTTTTTCCTTTATTTTATTTATATAGTGATTAGATGGTAAAAATAGTGTGAATGTGTGTATCTATGCAAACAATAGAGGTACAATCTCCAACAAGTCTCTGCCTCTAATATATTTGAAAATGTTCCATGCATATAGATTAAAATCATGGTAAATGCATTCTACAATTTACTTCTCTCAGAATTTTTTCCTATTCTTATTCATACACACCACTCCATGCTATCAGGACAACACAGGAGGAGCACATCAAACCTAAATACGCACTTGCAGCAGAGAGCAGGGATAGATGAAGGACTAAAGGTTTATATTGTTAAATGTAACCTATTTAAATTGGTCTTAAAACTACAGAGGTTCTTAGTTAACCACACCACTCAGCAAATCACTTCCCTCACAACCTGACCGCTACATTCATAAAACATTGGGAACTGGATTGTCCTGCAGTGCCAAACCACCATTAATATGTACCACTGCTCTTGTCCCTCCATGTTCACTAGACCTTTCACTGGGCAGGAACTCCAGGATAAATAAGGCACTGCAGTTTTTGCCTTGAAATTTCAGCCAAATTAAGGGAAGCAAGGCAGTTTTTCTTTTTTTGAAGGGCATCAAAACCATCACAATAAACCCTGGGGGCATTAAAACAATTCTATAAAACCATGTATAAATGATCTAAAAATGTGCACAGCGAAGATTCTGCGTGCAGTGTTGTCTGATCTTCTGGGAGTGGATTCACTACTGCATTTACGATGCAAAATAACTGTTAACTATAGTTACCATGGTTAACAGATAGCGGTGGTCTTCACTAACAACTTGCCACTAGATGATAGATAATGATGAATAAAGACTTTGTTTGGATCTGTTCTTTTTTAACAAAGATGAGAAATATATGGATAAAAGCTGTCTTGACTCTTCTTTGGTTAAAAGTAAAAAGGATATATCACTATAACATTTTTTTTGTATTTTTTGTTTCTATTTATACGATAAATAGCTAGGAAGTCTATTAACATCCCACATAATGTGATACCGTTGACTGATTTTTAAACTCGTGTCTCTATTTACATTACATGTTGGCAGAGGAACCTGAAAGATTTAGTATGGTGCTCGCTGATTGGTGGTATTCCTTTATTAGAACCCTCTATTGGCTACCATTAAAGTTATTTGATTTATTATTGTAACTCAGTCGATTCATTTCCACATGAATCACTGGCAAACACAATGGTAAATGGCAGCTGGTAAATGTGTTACGATAGTGTGTTAGTGAATCCCGCCCCTGGATTCTATCTGTACGCTGTGCTGATGGCTGCCAGTGTGCCGGTACTGCCTGTACACTGGTGTTCTGATCCTCACAGCTATTGCGTTGGCCAAAAGTTAGGGTCACAATAATTTGTTGCCGTGAAAATCCTCATAAGTTTAGGGCATTGTGACAATTTGAAAAGGCACGGCAGCAATTGCCATTGTGAATTTCCTGCCCTACTTCAGGCTGGTGAATATTTCAGGGATGATGCTGATTTTTCAAAATTTTGTGAAAAAGACGTAACTCTATCAGGTAAAGCTAGATGTCAAGGAGCAGCGGATCCCCTTACAGATGACTATATTGAGGTTTGGTAGAATATACCATTTTTTAAGTAAATATACTTTACTTAAAAAGGGAGTGACACAAGATTAGATTTGAAAAAAATATATATATATATGTATGGTGATTTAATATTCTGGTAAATTGTTGTGAAAGTAAGACTGAATGTCTTTATCATTACCCACATCCATGATGAGGTGGTAGACGGACACAAACAGATCATGTTGATACCGTGACAACATTATATGGAACATTATAGTTAAGCCCTATCATTAATGAAACATGAACTATGCTGATGTCACAATATCAGCAGCAAGTTATACCCTTTGTGTGACAGTAATCACATAATTATTATTAATGCAAGATTGCCAAGTATCTCTCTCTCCTGAATCACCCAATCCAAATGCCTGATATGGGTGAGTACACTGACTCACAACTGTCACTGGGAATAGCAGTTGTAACAACAAACCCAAAACATCACTCGTCAGAATTGTTCATGTATTTTATTGCATTATTAAGGAAAGAGGCAGAGACTGTTGTAAGTGTACATGGAATAGGTTTTTGGGCACTTGTTATATCTGTTATAAAAAAAAATAAAAAAATAAAAAGCAGTTGACAGAAAGGGTAAGATTTTTTTCTAGACAAATGCAGATGGCTGTGGAATTGCTCAGCAATATTGTATTTTGTGTAAACTTTTTACTTTCTCAGTGTTGGGATATGTAAATCATGAAGCCAATAAATACTCAGAAGATACTTTTTTTGACTTGGTTAAACCTGCAGAATATCAGAAAACATATTTATCTTAAAGTTTTACTGCCTATAGTAGGAAAAATTTGTTGATGTAGAGAGATATATGAGGTATTATTGCTTTTAACATTACAATTTTTAATTTGTGAAAAATAAGTTGTAATGGATCAGGAATTATACTGTAAAATTAAATTTTTAAAGTGAATTGCTTTACCCAATTGGCCCCGTATGGCAAAAAATACATACAATATCTGCTGTATTTTTAATCAATTATTAGTCCTACCTATCTCACTTGTTTACCCTTTTCTTTGATTTTTAGAAAGATCTATCTGTTTTATATATATGTTAATAACATTATAATAACCATAATGTAACTAATAATAATAACACTGTCAATATCAACAGCATCTTTGCAACAAAATTCACAATAAATACTTTAAATTAACTAATATGTTAAAGGCTTTATGAAATTTTACTTTAGCAAATCACTTCTCTGATGGGTTCGCTTCACACCACCAGTTGCAGAGTTGCTTCCACGTGAACCAGACGGCCCAATGTAGGGGATCACCCTACCTTGGGCCACAGCCCTCGCCTCAACGAATTTTGCTTGGTCTTTTATTCTCTCCTTTCCTCTTCTGTATCTTATTCATCCCCATTTATCCCATTCCTAAAGTGTGAGAGCCATGCTGAAAGGATGAAAGGCTGGCTCTGTCAGTCATGAACAGCTCCCGGAGCCATGGGCACAGTATTTTTGATGTTTGATGTTTTTCCAACCCCTGCCCCTCCTTTGACCATGGCTCCAACCACTGATACTAATACCCCCTCCTCAACGCTTACTGACAACTCCATCCATTCCAAGACTCCCACCCATGTTATCACTCAACCTCCAGAAAGCACCCCTTCCTCTCTCCCAACATTCTCCTCTCCATCTACTGCACAGTCCTCTTCAAATTACCCTGCTCAGTCACATACATGTGTCAATTGTGGAGATTCCCATAATGTATTTTATAGGAGTTGCACTGTTATAAGCTCGAATGTGAGGTAGCAGTCCTCAGATTCAAACTAAGCCTCACTCTACGTGAGGCTAGACAAGAAGCACGGCAACGAGGTTTTTCTCTCTACTTATTTCCTTCGCTCTGCTCCCCCACCATCTTCACAAGATGTTTCTGCATCGCCCCCAGTATCTCTTCCCTATACCTTGAACCATTCTACCTCTACTCACCCTATCCCCCAGTCAAATTCGTTTTCCAGTCTAAATCCAGATACTCCAATCTCTACCAGTTCCCTGATACCTACCCCTCCTCACTTTATTTGTCGCACCAGGCAACCTAAACGTTCCACTCCACCCTCTCCAACACCTTCCTCTTCTTCTGTTCCTCAGATATATTATCTCCTCTTTTCCTCACAAGAGAACCTTTGCCTCTCAGTCCTCTTCACCCAACTCCCCTCCAGAAACCCTTGAAGACATCCAAAACTTCTTAAAAGATTAGAGGCAAAAAACTCCCTTTGGCCGGGGACACAGCAATCCCCGGCAAGAACTGAGATGAGTAAAAAAATTGAAGCTGGTAGACTTCAAAATTTTGTTCATGAATGGCGTAAAATAACCAATGATCCTCACATTTTGGATATTGTTACACATTGCCATCTTGATATTAATCTTGATGATATCAGTTATTTATTTTCTTGAAGGCATTGCATATGTTTTTAGTGAGGAGGAAAAGGTCATTATTTACCAGGAAATGTAAAGCTGTGAGATCTTAAAGTTATTAAGAAAATGCACAAACATATCCCCAATTTTTCTGTGGAGGAAAAAGCATGGGGATTTTAAGATGACCCTTGGAAAAACTAAAAAAGCACATTAATTATAAACATTTCAAAATGGAAAATTTTGAACAAGCAACTTGACTTTTTAACAAAGGGGATTACATGACTGCAGCTAATCTTATGCATGTATATTACTCTGTCAAGATAGCTGTAGAACATCCAAGATTTCTTTGCTTTAAATGGGAAAGAAAATCTACCAGTTGACCTGTCTCCCTAATGTGTTACAGAAGGCTCCCATATTTTTACCAAATTAATGAAACCTATTTTTGCTACCCTAGGACAAATGGGATACACTATCACCAGTTTCATTAAAGACACTCGTATGCCACAGCTCATTAGAAGGATGCTATGAGAGTATATACACAACCCAAAAAATGTTTGGAAAAGTTTGGGAACATCATTGACTCAGAGACAATGACAAGTACATTAACTGAACGGAGGAAAGTTAAAATAGTTGAATATGGTTTTTATTTCACCTGATTCACCTGTATGTAATTTGAAAATGTCAAGTATGCCACCCACATGGCTTCAAAACCTCATGGGAAAGCAAACCCAAGCAGAGAATTGATTTGCTCAAGTAAAATAGATAAGTACATGAAACTTACCGTTGCTCAGTTAAAATGTGCTTTAAATTTTATGAAGTAAATCACCTTTGCAAGTGGGCACTTTCACATGCCCTCTTCCTCCCTACGCTAAGCAGCGTCACAAGGATAAACTCAAACAATAGGAAATGATAAACTATTTGTCATGTGGGGGTGATCGTACACTTGAAAGTCTGGTGGTGTGAAGCAGTGCGGTGCTTCTCGTGTGAAACCACCCATTAGCTGAGGGGATTTGCTTCGTAAATTCAAAGCACACTTCAACCAACCTACGGTAAGTCTCATGTACTTTATCAATTATTTAGCGACTTTTCTGCAGTCTCATACATCTTTATGGTAACTGGTTAGATAGAGCTTACGTATTTTATAAGTATAGAAATGAATGTTTTTGTTAGTGAGAAAATTTTTTCACTACTGTTTGTAAATTCCAAATGTACAACAAAATATATATCATTGTCTTTATACCATGTAATCTTATAAATATATATAGAACAGCGGGAAACTCATAAATAGATATAGAACACAGTGTTACACTAATAAATAGATAACCATTCAGCTTATGTGGTTGTGTTAGTGCAATGAAAAATCAGTTCATATTTAATTGCTTGTGCTATTTCAATAGTCTGCAAAGTAAAAGGGAAATGCATAATATGCAAACTTAATACAGAAATGTTATTTATTGCAGAAATCAATAATATAACTTTGTGCTTGATATTATGCTGCCATTCACCTAATAAATGAGTAACTTTTGGATACAAGCTTGTATTTGCTATTATGTATGTATCTACCTGAATATATGTATATGTATATGTATATATATATATATTATATTATATATATATATATATATTATATATTATATATAATATATATATATATATATATGGGTGTGAGTACTCCTGTGCTTTCTTTCAGTGTCTGTACATGTATGTGTCTTTAAACATGTGACAAAGAGATGTACACAAACAACAGTGCAGTAAATGACTTAACAGATCCAAATCATGTCATACAGTAGCAACAAAAGCCAAGACAGTGCTACAGCCCCCAAGCTCTTTCTTTCCCGAAAGCCCGATCCAGATCCTCCACGAATGCCCTGTCTTTCTCCCAGTCTACACGGTGAACAATAACAGCATCACGGGCCTTGCGAAGACTTTCCTGTAGGAGCTTCGAAGTCTTGTAATTAAGACGCCATCCGGGGACATTCTCATGCTTCACAGTCACTCCTGAAGGCTTACCCTTGGCCCTCATGGTGAGGTATTTGAACCTTACACTCTCTGGATCTTGGGGAATTCCCACAGTCTGGCCGAATTCCAGGTTGATCTTCTTCACAACGAAACCTGTCCAGAACACGTCCTCGAACATGAAGTACTGCATCAGCTGAGACGCTTCCTCAAACAAGGGAATTACGTCTGGAGAGGAACGAAGAGAAGGGGGCGGGGTTACTTTGGTTACCTGTATTGGTTACCTGTATGATGTTTGTTGCTGTGGGTTATTATTGCTATTTTATTATCATTGTTTTATTATTATCCATATCATTGTTGTTGTTATTATTGTCATTGTTTTTTTCATTATTATTATTATCATTATTATTATTATCATTATTATCATTATCATAGACACTACCATTATTATTACTCTTACTCCAACAACTACAACTACTATTCACCACCACCAATACCATCCACATCACCATCGAGAGCCCCAGGTCGCCACCCACCTGCCGTGATGACGTAAGCAGGTCCAGTAGCAAAGGAAGGGAAGGTCGTGAGAGGCATGTTTTTTCGCATCTGCAGTCCATTCATCATTCGGAGTGCTACGTGCAGAGGTAGATTATTTCCTGCGTTTGGCACACAGTTCGAACATATCTGCGGGCGGATGGGCGTGGGAGGTAGGTATATTAGGGCCTAATGATGGTATTTGTATGTAGATCTCATTATCTATTAGTGTGTCCACCCTATTAGTGCATCTATCCCTAGTGTGAAGGCCATCTGTGAATGCTTGTCGAAATTCGCACAGTATGATGTCCGAAAATTGTTTGAAGAATGGCTGGATAGTAAGTGCCTCTTTCCCAGTGGGTAGGAGGCATTAGGAAAGTCCATGTTATATTCATATCTATCAACCTATATTGATGTCTATCTGTCCATATATGGTGACTTCCCTTCCTCCCTCTCTCTTTCGCACCAATACACAGACACAGACACACACACACACACACACACACACACACACACACACACACACACACACACACACACACACACACACACACACATACACACACACACACACACACACACACACACACACACACACACCACACACACACACACAACACACACACACACACACACAACACACACACACACACACCACACACACACACATAAATAAATAAATAAATTACATATATATTATGTATATATATCCATCTCTCTCTCTCTCTCTCTCTCTCTCTCTCTCTCTCTCTCTCTCTCTCTCTCTCTCTCTCTCTCTCTCTCTCTCTCTCTCTCTATATATATTATATATATATATATATAATATAATATATATATTATATATATATATATATTATATATATATATAATATATATATATTAACAATATAGAATCAGAAGCACATAGAACTTACGTGGCCGAGCACAGTCTTTTGTCTGTTCTTCTCCAGCACCTTCAAGAACTTGGGGACGTTCACGTAGACGTCGTCGTCCACTTTCGCGACGTAGGCGTGGGCTGGACAGTGGCGCCCAACCCAGCGTATCATGTGACCCGTCTTCAGCGTCAAATTTGCATAGTCTTCGAGGCTTCCAACAACCACTAGATCGTTAAATCTTCGGTTTTCCTCTTCCAGTTTAAGCATCGCTAATTTACTAGAAGGTTTCGAGATAAGGAAAGCATAAGGTATCTTTTGTTTAGCGAGGATCTTGAGATAACTTTTGCGAATGGAGTTTCGGGTCTCGGTGCTCTCGACACGTGAATTGACAAAAACGAAAATTCTCGTGTTGTTGGGACATAATCCGCCATTTTCTAAAGGAAACTCGGAGGTGAAGAGATCAGAGTACATGTAATGCCTGGCAAACTGCTTGTACTTGTAATAATCTTCGGACCAATTATAATCCGCACTTTCGTCTTCATAATAATCATCATAGTCGCTTTCGGAACCCGGTGCTGGAGACGAAGCTCCGAAATCCCCGTTTCCTGCCTCGAAGCTGTCCCCGCCTGCACGCTTCTCCTCAGCATTCCCGCCGCGATCTGTCCCATCTTCGGGGTTTGATCTCCCGGGAGGATCATCATGCGCGGCCACATAATCATGAGCACCAGCCAGTTTTCTGCGGTGTCTCTGGTGGGGCGCAGGAGCGACGGGAACTCGAGGAGGGTGTGGAACAGTTCCTCGTGACCGCTGGAGTTTGGCGCTGCGGCCCTCGATGCTGTGGTTGCTGGTGGCGTCTGCGAGGAACAACTTGTAATAGCGATGCAAGGTAACGGCTGTGAAAAGTTTGGCTAATAGTAAGAAAAGGCATCAGTTTGACTATTTATCATGTGAATAATACCTACAATAACTGGAATTATTTCCAATTGTAAATTATTTGACATTACATCTAACGAATTATTTCCAGTTGTAAATTATTTGACTTATTACATCAATCGCTCAATTGACACTTAAAATAACAGTAACATGATTCAATGTTTTAATTCAGATATGGATGTTGTATCACAGACGTAAATAAAAGACCTTATATAGAATATAGATTTTGCAGCCTAGAGATATATAATCTTTATTATGTTATATCAATAACAGCTCGAGATATAACGTTAGAGTAGAAACAGAGTACAAAATTTCCACATAAACGTAAACTTCTAGAATGTGAATGACATTAAATCGGCAAAAACATGAATGAAATAAATAAACAAATGATTAAAAACAAATAAAACATTCGCTACACTTACCAATAATGAGAAGGAAGACCAAGACAGTGTAGACGGGAATGGCAAGGAAGACGATAACGCGACACGTCCTATTTTCCATTCCGAAGAAGGAAGCAGGAAAACCAAAGAAAATGGGATATGCTTGAATATGTGTGGCGCGTAATTTGTCCCGTTGATTTCGGTTCTGTTGAAAAATTGTAATGTTTATCAATATTTTCTTCTTTTCGTTTCGTTCATTTTTTTCTGTTTCGTCTTTTTCTCTTTTATTGTTGTTCCTTTATTTTTTCTTTTCTTTTTCTTCTCCTTGTTTGTCATTATTGCAGTTATAGATGTTGATGCTGTTTTGTGGTGCTTTACGTACTATTAAAAGTTTTATTATTTCGCCAATGAAGTTATATATTTG